TCAATGGAAGTTCCATTTTTAATTTTTTGAGGAAACTCCATATTGTTTTTCCACAGTGGCTGCACCAGTCTGCATTCCCACCAGCAGTCTCACTGGCCTGTCTTACCCTGGAACTATTTGGTTCTAATACCCAATCATTTGAAACAAGGATATAATTATTATTGCCTTATGTGTTCTCTCTTGCTTAGAAAATGAAGCTTAATATTCCTAGGAATCAACGTATTCCTGTGGGCAAATAGCATACTCCAATACAATACCAATAACATTTGCTGTTTACTCTTCAGAAACAGTTGCTCTCTGTGTATCCGTGAGCTAAGCCACATAACAAACTGCCCCAAACTTAGTAGCTTAATAACAACCATTTAAGTTTGCTTACAGTCTACAGGTTGGCTGGGTTGTTCTGCAGACCTGGAACAGCCTCAGCGAATCTCAGCTGGCCTTGCTCATGCATCTGTGGTCAGCTAGAGGGGGAGCTACAGACTAGTCTAGAATGGCCTCCCTCGCAAGTCTGGCTGTCAGCAGGGGCAGTGAATTTGACTGGGCTATCAACCGCAGGTAACCTCGGATTTGTCCCCATGGTGCAGAGTTCTGAGAGAGCAGAGGTGTATAGGGCTTCTTGAGACCTATGCTCAGAACTGACACAGCACCACTCCCCACCACAGTCCGTGAGCCAAAGCGAGACGACAGGCCAGCCAGAATCAAGGGTGGGGAGTGGACCCTCCTCTCGGTGGGCAGGACTGCAAAGTCATAAAGGGAACCCTGAAAAATGAGTCACAATCCATCTAACACTCTCCCCACACCAAGGCGAGAACGCTCTTAGCATTGATTTCCTTTCAGCAAAGGTTGCTTGTCTCACCAGCAGCCCACCTGGGAACTGGTTCAGGGGAAAGATCCATTACCCTCGTTTGCATATGTTTCACTTTCACAGGCTGCCATTTCTTGACAGTGAGCCCACATCTGAGTCTGTTTGGGAGTGTGATTCCCTACACCAGCTGTCAGGATGATCCATTTCTCTCTCCGTCCTGGTTCCTGAGAGCAGTTGCTTACTTTGGTGGAGTTTTCCAGTCTAGATTTACCAAAGACTCTGAGGACAGTTCTCAGCTAGTGGTTGAATAAATCTTTGTTAACGTATGGACTCAATCAATCACAGGCTAATTAACTCCAAGTCCTGTTAGAAGCGATCGAAATGTCATTTCTCATGGTCAGAAAGGAGGTGGAGAGAGCTTGGAGGTAGTCCAGTCATCTTCTCCCCATTCTGGCATCTCTGCCCTTAAAAACCACTGAGTCAGGACTGTGGATCCCTGGGGCCAGGCAGAAACAGTCTTCCTCTGCCATGGCTTCTATTTGTCTTCTCGCCCCTATTTGTCAGAACTGCCATCCCTGAAGAGGGTTACCTGGTGGCCTGGGCCAGGCTAAGGAGAAGGGGGAGTCTGTACACTGCTGCTCCCCTCCCACACGGCATCGCTGTGCTCCCCTCCTCCACTCAGCCCACGGGGAGAACAGAGCAGCCCAGCCCTCACCCTGGATCCGAATACAGGAAACCAGAAGGAACGGCCACTCCTGAGGGATGGAAGTGGAGAAAATACTCCTAGAAATAGGGAACAGCAAAAGTTCTGTTCAAGCCAGGAAAGCAACACTAACCAGTATTCATGACTAGGCTTGGCATTTCTAACTAAGGAGCATATGGTAATAACATTGTGCATATCATTATGTATTTAAAGTTATTTTTGCTCTGTTTTACTTGATCATATTAGACTTCCCTCTTATATTCTGTGTTTCCGGGATAAGTAAAATGTCATATTATATCATGTTTAAAATTTTTGGTATGATCCAATTGGGTAAAAAAATATATACATGTATGTAGGCATATATATACATGTATATATACATATGTATACATGTATACCTATATTTGTATATATGCATGTAGTACATGTACATATGTGTGTATGCACATATATGATTTATAATATTTATACATTTTAGCATAAGATGTGTATTTTATTATCATATCTACATATATGTAAAATTTATATAAACAATATGCAACTATATATAAAATAAAAGATATGTTTTTTCTACCTTATATAGCTAAGTATAAGTATATATGTATACTTACATTTTTGTTGAAAAATGGCTGAAAGGATGCATAAGAATTGGATAATAATGATTTCACCTAGGGGGATTTTTCATTTTCCTTTTCATATATTTTGACTTTTTAAAAGCAGTTCATTTGTAAATGTTACCGAGATTCTTCCCGTTTTTTCTCATCACCTTATTCCCAGCTTAAATTGTAAGTTCGGATGACTTTATATACTGAATCCTTACCGGGGGGGAAAATACTCTTGGTGCCTCACTAGAGGGTAGTGGTTTTCATGGGCAGACAGAACCGAATCCAGTCATTTGGTTGAGCTGCTGAGGAAGCTCAAGGGCAGTCCCCCCGGATCGGGAACCCCCAACACCTGGCAGGACCCCCTTCAGCCCCTGGTTCCCGCGGGCGTGGGCGTTGGCAGCATCTCTTCTGTCCTCCCCCAGGGCCGAGGCGGCAAAGGCAGCATCTATGTGTGGGCCTCTGGGGACGGCGGCAGCTACGACGACTGCAACTGCGATGGCTATGCCTCAAGCATGTGGACCATCTCCATCAACTCAGCCATCAACGACGGTAGGACGGCCTTGTACGACGAGAGCTGCTCCTCCACCTTGGCCTCCACCTTCAGCAACGGCAGAAAGAGGAACCCCGAGGCTGGAGTGGTGAGTGAGGCCACTGGCCCTCTGTGAGGTTGTGGAATGCAAGGTGCTGTGACGTCATGCATGGACACCGTGACGTCATGGGAGGAAAGGGAGTTACCCACTTCCCTAAAAAGTCAGCACAGGTTCTGAGAGGAGATCCATTCTCCTCCAGGCCTAATAATGCTTTGTTATCAAGGTAAAGAAATGTAAGACATGAAAATATTTATTAAATATATATAAATATTTTTTCTATCTTATATAGCTAAGTATAAATATATATGTATACTTACATTTTTGTTGAAAAATGACTGAAAGGATGCATAAAAAATGGATAATAATGATTTCACCTAGGGGGATGTTTTTGAAAGCAAGGACGTGATGACCCCCTTGCAGCTCATTTTCCGCAGATTGTCTTTCTTGAAGTTTATTGTTTGATTTGCAAGTGATGACAAAGTCTGCTTTATCAAAAAGTTGCCCCGCCAGATCACTTATAAGGAAAACTAATATAAAGAACTGGGTCTCCACATCACCACCCACCTGAGCCAAGTATTACAGTAATTTTTTTTAAATCCAAGGATGGACTTTTCTAGGTCTATAAACCTCCCCAAATCAGGTACATGTGTATTTTCTCAGGGAAAGTGTAGTAGTTTTCATCATAGGTCAGTGATTGAGAAAACAAAATATTAACAATCACAAACTTAGATTTTTTTTTTAATATATTTTATTGATTTTTTACAGAGAGGAAGGGAGAGGGATAGAGAATTAGAAACATCGATGAGAGAGAAACATCGATCAGCTGCCTCCTTCACACTCCCTACTGGGTATGTGTCCACAACCAAGGTATGTGCCCTTGAACAGAATCGAACCTGGGACCCTTGAGTCCGCAGGCCAACACTCTACCCACTGAGCCAAACCGGTTAGGGCAGATTTTTAAAATATTTTTAATTGATTTTTAGAGAGAGAGGGAGGGAGAGGGGGATAGAGAAACATTGATATGAAAGCAAAACATAGATCCGTGCTCTACACCCCCTATTGGGGACCAAGTCCAAAACCCAGGCAGACTTGGAATAGAACCAGCAACCTTTCCTTGCACAGGACAACACCCAACCAACCAAGCCACATCGGCCAGGGCCAGACTTAGATTATTAATTGCACTTTTCTGAGCAACTCTTCCTTCCTGGGCAACTAGGTAAAATGGTGAATTTTCCAAACCCCTTGGAAATAAATCTCTATAGAGTGTAATGAACCTTTTTGGATCTCTTCCTCTCTCTGGATAGTTCACTCATAGATCAGCCTTTCCTCGGACCTCCAAGCCAAGAATTTGGGAGGTGGTTCAATAGACCCACTGAGTTAGTTACACGCTTCCCTACAGACAAACAGAGGAAGAAGGAGAATTCCTGTGGTTCATACATGATTTTAATAAAAATCTGGCCCTCCCAAACATTGAAAGTGAGGTTTTTCTCTTTGTGAAAGTTCTTTAAAACTCAGTTGATCATTGAGAAGATCTCCCCCTTAAGAAGAGTTGTGGAGCCAAAACCGGTTTGGCTCAGTGGATAGAGCGTTGGCCTGCGGACTGAAGGGTCCCAGGTTCGATTCCGGTCAAGGGCATGTACCTGGGTTGCGGGCACATCCCCAGTAGGAGATGTGCAGGAGGCAGCTGATCGATGTTTCTCTCTCATCGATGTTTCTGACTCTCTATCTCTCTCCCTTCCTCTCTGTAAAAAATCAATAAAATATATTAAAAAAAAAAAAGAAGAGTTGTGGAGGTGACCACTCACGTATTCGTTATCTTGACTCCAAATGTCTCAGAATCGTCCCATAAATTTCAGAGGGAGAGAAACATTTTCTTTTTAATGGCCTGTCCTTTTAGGCCAGCCTTAGCTGAGCCGGGTTATTCTTCCCTCTTTGGGATAGTGCCTGAATGGAAAAGAAATGTTAATGCAGTAGCCCTTGGGCTTTCTGAAAGATGACCCCAGTGCAATAAAACTCTTGGCTTGTGCCTCTCCACCTATCATGTCTCATTGTAGAATCCAGAAAATGTCTCCCTAGTCTCTGGAATAGCTGCAGATAGTGCTTCTCGGAACAACTAGCTTGCTTTTATCTTGTGGACACTGTAACTCTAATTGATTGTGTGTCTCTTTTTGCATAGGCTGCTAGGAAACTCAGATAAAATGCATGGTTCAAATAGATATATGGGTGCTAAATTTAGCTTTACCTTCATCTTAATCTTCTTCAGAACAAGGAAGAGTTTAAATTTTAAAAAAATAGATAATTCTCTGCTCCATATTGTTTTGGGATTCAAAATAGTGTGACTCATTGCTCAATATCTTCCCTTTCAGGCAACCACAGACCTGTATGGCAACTGCACTCTGAGACATTCTGGGACATCTGCAGCAGCTCCAGAGGCCGCTGGAGTGTTTGCTCTGGCTTTAGAGGCTAAGTATGTTTCCAGCTTGGGCTGAGGGTCAGCTCTGTAAGGTGGACTAACATGTGTCTCTCCACCCAACAGTAGGTGTCCATGGAGGCAAAAGTGGATGCAAGAGCCTGCCAACAGTCAGGGTCAATGAACTCTGGTGGGCATTTCTAAATGAACCATGGGTCCTAAGTCACACACACACATACACACACACACACACCACAAAACTACAATAGGCCCACTGAGAATCCTGCAGACAGAGAAAGAAGAATTCCTGTGGTTCAGACATGGTTTTATTGAAAACCTGGCTCTCATAAACATTGAAAGTGAGGTTTTTCTCATTGTGAAAGTTCTTTGAAACTCAGATCATCATTAAGGTCTCCCACTTAAGAAAAGTTATGTAGGTGATCACACATATCCATTATAATAACTCAACATGTCTCAGAATCTCTCCATGAGTTTTTGATGTAGGGTAACATTTTTTTGTTTATTTACTTGTTAATCCTCACCCGAGGATATTTTTCCATTGATTTTTAGAGAGAGTGAAAGAGAGGGGGAGAGAGAGAGAGAAAAAAACATTGATGTGAAAGAGACACATCAATTGGTTGCCTCCTGCACGTGCCCTGACCAGGGCCAGGGAGCGAGCCCACAACCCAGGTACATGCCCTTGACCGGAATAGAATCCAGGACCCTTCAGTCTGTGGGCCGATGCTCTATCCACTGAGCCAAACTGGCTAGGATGAGAAACATTTTTTTAATGGATTGTCCTTTTAGGCAAGCTTGAGCTGAGCCTGTTTATTCTTCCCTCTTCGGGAGTGCCTTGCCTTCCTGAACAGAAAAGAACTGCTGATACAATCACCCTTGGGAAAGTATACCCCTAGGACAGTACAGGACACTGACACCCAACCACACATATCAGCTACTTGCTCATATACCAAATAGGGGCAGGTAGATCGTCTCTTCTTCATAAAAACTTCTCTTTATCCTCTGGATGATCCCGTGGCTATTTTATTCCAATAATACTCACCATCAGCTAAATGAAATAAAACCATTTTCAAGCTGGGTATCTAGCAAGGTATTCAGAACATGTGTCAAACAGGGTGCTCCGACTCAATATTTGTTAACTTATAAGGTGAATTCACTTTTAACACTGAGACAAGGTGGGCAAAAGTCATGCAGTATCGACCAAGAAATGGGCTTTACTGGGAAACCTTCCACGCTACAGGTAAGAGGAGACCATCCTCTCTGTTCTCACCATTCCACAGAGAGGCCACATATCCCTACTGCTGGGCACACTTTCGATATAAGTATCAGCTGAGGTACTTGACAACCTGCTATATTCTCTTGGTGCAAACCAGAGACTAGCCTTGTTTTTGAACAGTGAACATGTGGGCTTCGGGCGCCATGCACTCGGTGTGAGTGCAAATGCCCACCATGTAGGAAGTTGTCTGAAACTGCTGCACCAGCCACTTGTGAGAAGTTGGATTCAGGTTCCTGGGAAGCAGAGTTGAGTCTCTACCTCCCACCCCTGCTCAGCTGTTGCTAGGCAACTGGAGCTTTGAGCATCAATCTCGAGGCAGCCCTGCTTGTCTCTCTCCACAAATGCATTTTTTGACTTGCAAAAGGGGCAAGAGTTGATTCCTAGAATAGGAAGAGACTTTGAAAGATGATCTAGTCCAGCCCTCTGCCTTCAAGCTGAAAAGGCATAAACATCCTCCTTTTACAGTTAAGGCCCCAAATTGAGAGTGACTCCTCTTTTGGGACCAAGCCAAACTTCAATTCTTGTAACAAAACTCAAGTGGAAATTTTAAGACACCGAGGGATAGACACCGATCAAAGAGTTTCTATTAAGCGCAGAGACCAAAACCTACTCACAGATTATATGCATTTCCTGTTCATCTCAGAGCTTGTTGTGCCCTGGAGCCTGAGCTGGCTTTGCTCACTCCAGCTGGGAGCAGACAAGCAGGGGAGCCTGCTGCCTGCCACTGAGCCTAGCAGAGAACAGCGAGCAGGAGAACTCCAAAAGCAAGAAGGGGTTTCTGGTCTCCCTTTAAATCTAAGAGGGCAGAACTTGACTCAAAGTCTCCTTGGACTTTGGCAAGCAAAAACCATTTGCCCAGGCCTATATGCATGCAAAGGAACAACGCAAATTGATGGAGCAAGGCTACTGGATTCATGGGCTCTGCACCAGCTTTCTTGAGCACACACTTGTAGATATCCTTCCGGGAGAGAGTGCAGTCCCCACTTAGGCACACTCTGTTTTAGAGCAATGGTCATGAATTTAATGCTCTCTATTGCCATGAAGCAGTGAAGAATGACAGCTGGAAGTAGGTGGTTCAAGCCCATCCTGGGAGCCAGTCCTAAAATCCCTCAGAATACCAACTGCCTGAGTTGGAAGCACACTCAGAGATGAGTTTCCTGCAAGTGGTTTCTAGAGGAAGAGGCCAGAAGGAAGTAGAGGAAGCAGATTAGGGGCAGGGAGAAGCCAAGCAAGTATGCAGTTTGAGGAGTTCTCGCCTCAGCTTGATCCCATGGGGAACTCTGGAGTATAAATGTTTATGCCTCAGAGGTTGTTTTCCCTCAAGGCGAGGGAGCTGGGCTGCCATGTTCTTGTGCTAAGAGCCATGCCTGGGAGCATGTCTGGCTTTATGCACCTGTGGGCAAAGGGACCCCCGTAGCCAGCAGTGAAAACCACTGGTCAGCATGAAATAGCCCTGAAAAAGCCCAGAGGCATGAGGAGGGGAAACATGATCCAGGAACAGTTCCTACTGCTCTCCTCTGCCTGAGACAAGACAACTGGGAGTCCTCGGTGACCAAGTGACAGCAATCAAGGGCTCTTTCCCTCCCAGAGGCCCAATAAAACACTTTTATGAAGCAATGTGAATGCAGAAAACAAATTATCCTGTCTCACTGAATAACCCTTGGGACTGTGAAAGAGGGAGAACAACCACCCCATGATTCCAGGGGGGAAAGGGAAACCCTTCCTTTGTCCTGCCCAATCACCACTGTTTTCCAATATTATAAAGTGCTTTTTTGCCAAATGCTTGAAAGTGGCTTATTGAGTCACAGGAAGATTGTTCACATGTCCCTGTGTGACCATTAGAGGAAATTTCAAAGAATTTCTTTAATGGGAACATGTGGGCAGAGGAGGGAGGGATAACTGCTACCTTCAAATATTTTGAGTTCTTCCATGACCGTCTGTGTTGTTCGGACTGAGCTAGGTTTGAGGAGCAGATGTCATAAAGAGGCAAATTTTTGGCTCCAAGGAAGCATCCATAGTAAAATGGCCCACTAGCACAAGCATGTCAAACTCAAAGGCTAACACGAGCCAAATAAATGAGGCATGCGGCCCACAGGCTGCAAGTTTGAGATGCTTGGTCTAGAACAATGTTTCCAAAACTGACCTTCCAGGGCATGGATTTTTACATGTAAACTCTTTATCAAAGTATAATAGACACTGAGAAAAGTGTACAGATATTAGGTATAACTCAATGACTTCTTACAAGGTTAACAGACCCATGTAACCAGCACCCAAATCAAGAAAAAGACTGTTACCTACGTCTAAGTACCAGTCTCTTTTACTCTGAAAGTCTGAGAGATTCCTCCATGCTGTTGTTTCTGGTTATAAGTCGTTCATACTCATTGTAGAATATTACTCCATTATAAATGGTACTTGAGTTGTTTCCACTTTGGGGCTATTATGAGTAATATTTCTATGAACATTCTTGTACATGTCTTTTGGTGAAGCTAAGGACACATTTCTGTTGGGTATTTTCTAGGGCAGTGATGGCGAACCTTTTGAGCTCGGCATGTCAGCATTATGAAAAACCCTAATTTAACTCTGGTGCCGTGTCACATATAGAAATTTTTTGATATTTGCAACCATAGTAAAACAAAGACTTATATTTTTGATATTTATTTTATATACTTAAATGCCATTTAACAAAGAAAAATCAACCAAAAAAATGAGTTCGTGTGTCACCTCTGACACGCGTGTCATAGGTTCACCATCACTGTTCTAGGGAGTCAAAATGCTGAGTCAGGGGTATACATATGTGCAGCTCTAGTAGATACTGCCAAGTAGTTTTCCAAAGTGAATGTACCCACTGACACTTCCTCCAGCAGTGTATGAGAGTTAGAGTTGTTCCGCATCCCTGCCAACATTGGGTATTGTCAGTCTTCTACACTTTAGCCATGCTTGTGGGTATGCAGTGGAATTGCATTGTAGTTTTAATTTGCATTTCCCTGATAACTAGTGAAGTTGAGCACGATGGGGAGTTTTGAAAATGATAGATTCCCAACTCTCTGCCAAGAGTCACTGAACACAAATCCCTGGGGATGAATGGCCCAGGAATTTGTCTTTTCAACCCCACTCAAGGGGCTACATAAGCAGACAGCCCATTGCTGTTCTGTGGATTGGGGGGGGGGGGGGGGGCACCCAGGAAGGCAATGGCTCTATGAACCAGGGGGCTGTTGTGCAGAATTTGAATATCTAGATTAGGCCTCTGATTAGGGGCTGATATTAGATCAAGATTGAAAACAGGAAATTTGAATAACATTAGATAAATAAAAAAGGGTTTATTATCCTGTCATGTGAAAGATAATACAGAGGTAGGGAGTCCAGGCAAGTATGGGGGGTGCCACCAGGAATGAGGCAATCCAGCTTTTTCTGGATTTCTCCTCTTCCACCTTCGTGTTCTATAGGTGCTTCTGGAGCTCCAACCATTGTGTTTACATTTCAGGCAGAAAAAGAGGGAGGAGCAAAGGGAAAAAATAAATCCACCAGCTAAGTCAGCCCCATTTAAAAGTTGTTTCCAAAAAACTCTGCCCAGTGGCTTCTGCTTATTTCTCATTGGCCAAACTGTCATATGACCACCCCAGACTGGAAGAGAGGCTGGGAAATGTAGTTTTATAACTGATAACATTGCTGTTCTGAATAAAATTGGGTTTTCTTAATAAATAAGAAGGATAGATATGATAGAATTGCTAGTGTCTTCCAGCAACTAAGTGGGCAATCACTCACT